GCCGGAAGTCGATCGATCAATATGCGGCCTTTCACGTGGACGCCCGGCGCTAGCACGGCGTTGGCACAGGCAACTCTAAACGCGACAGGGAAATTTAGGGAATAGAGTCGTATTTATAGATTATTCTAATTGTATTTGCTCTCATAATCATATATGGAGGAACAGCAAGATACAGGAAAAAGCACTATCTACACGGTCTTTCTCAAAAAAATTAGAAAGCTGGGCTGTACAAATTATGGCACACTATAAAATCAACGTCTTATAATGGATATTCTATGATGAGGACCATGCCGGGATCCAACCGCCAAACTCTTGTGATAGCTGTTGTGATGCTGCAATCAGGAGACGTTCCGAGTTACGATTTCCGATTATCTGAAAGAAAATCTTGATTTTTGGTCTAAAAAATTTCTGATTTTGCTCTAGAGAATTCTTAATTTTTGCTCAAAAAAGTTTTTGACTTTGCTCTAATAGAGTTCTTGAATTTTCCTTTGAATAGGTACTTAATTTTTGCTCTAAGGAAGTCTTTGAATTTTGCTTCAAAAAGGTATTGCCTTGAGAAAATTCTTGGATTTTACTTCAAAAAGGTTTTTTGATTTTTGCTCTGAACAAGTTTTTGATTTTTGCTCTAAAAAATTTTTGCTCTGGGAAGGATCTTGATTGTTCTAGAAAATCTCTTGATTTTCGCTGTAAAAAAAGTTCCTGATTTTTGCTTTACAAGGCCTTGATTTCAAAATAGGTCTTGATTTTTACTCTAACATAGCGCTAACCTCGGAAACTCTAAGAAAACTTGGGAAATGAGACAAAACTTACCTGAACTCCAAGAGGTAACCCCTGGCTGTCCAGACCCAATGGACATGAAGCTGCCGGAACTGTCAAAGCATTGAAGAGACCCGTATATCCAACATCGAGTGTAAAAATGGGTTGATTATGGTACGGAGCTGTTCTCGGCCATCTAAACAATGAAACTGTCATCATACATTATCACTAGTGCAATCAATTCAAATTTGGAAAGATGACTTACGAAGGGAAGAGAAGGATGCCATTGTCGCCGAGGAGTTCGGTAAGTTCCTGGATCAAGCGGTCACGCATTTGGCGATACTATAAAGGGATGAAGTTTAGGGTAATAGTCAAGTCTAAGTAGGAAATGCTTTTTAAAGCAAAAGGCTTTAGGTATTTTACATACATGTGCTTAGAGAAAATTTGACATATTTTGCACACAAAATTTTGTATGAAAAAGCTTCTGAACATAAAATCGTGCACCTAAGACTCGCACAAGTGTATAAACGCTATGGAAGAGATGACATGAGAGGAG